AAAATTCACGTTACGGGGGTTTCGGTTTTAATTCAAGAGGGCACAGGGAATTCTATACGTTCTCGAGTGCGCTGGAGGAGGTCGATAAGGCATCCTCCGCGAAGAAACAGGAATAAAGTTCAAGCTTGTTGTTCCGCACGCACGCCACGATGCTTTGCATGTAAATCACGGTAAATGAGAACGAGACCTACAGGGAGGAAGAAGTCATCGCCAATGGAGGTACGTCGCGACGATGTCGTGGCGGCCTGCTGTTCGTCGAGATGGCTTTGAATAAAATTGAATTGCCGGACAGCGGGCTGGAAGTTAATTCCATTTCAATTAAAGAGGAATAAGGAGACGGGAAAGGAACGGGGCGATTTTATGCCGCTTAAGTTGGTCGTCGAGCGAAGGGGAATAAATGCAAATAAAGATCTCGATGATCGAAACGGTCGAGACAGAGGGAAAAAGAGTGCTCTCTCGTCTTCCCCCGTTTCCTTCGGCTCTTACCCTCACGAAACTCTACGTTCCTTATCGGAAACTTCCGACGAATATCCGCGATTAATCTGAAACAGGATTAAGCTGAAAGTCCGCAGGTTATTCGCGAAATTTCATATTCTCCTAGAAAGGGACCGCGCGGGTTTCGAGGGAAGGTAGAAAAATCTTTTCGCTGGGATATCCTCGTAGGATTTGGAGGAAAAGAGATTGCTTCGTGCCAGTTGGCATCGGATGCTGTCTTTTTCGTTCACGGTTGTCCCTCGATGGTCCTTCCTTTCTAAGGTCCACCGACCTTTTCGACAGAGAAAAGTAATTGACACTTTCTTCGGGTTGGAAAGGTTTCTAGTAGGGGTGCAAGAAAAATATCTCGGACGTGATCGGCACACAGCGTTATTTTCCTCTCCGCGAGCATCTTCTTTGGAAAGCATTCTCGCACGTCGATGTTTCTGATATTTCCTTTCACGCCCGAAAGCCTGTTCTGTCAGAGAGGGCCTCCTTGATCTCGTGACAAGAAGTAAGTGATTCGGCCGAAATGAAATTCGTCAGCATGGATTTTAAGTTTAGCTCGGCTGTCGACAGTAAGAAACAATTGCAGGTACTTCCTAGCGCTGTGAGATAATCGCGAGACTGAAAAGTGTTAAACTCTTTCTTGGAGAAACTGGAAACTATCCAGCCGGTCGGAGCGTATCTTTTAATTATTCGCGTAGCAGCGAGTTTGTTTGCAAGGTTCCGGGCGCAATTTCGTCTTGGCTTGTCGGTAAAGCGACTTTAAAATGTACACCAGAGACCACACGGCCGATCTCTGTTTCGGTTGCGCGGAGCTCGTTGCCTTTTGTTCCACTCGCATAATCAGGGGGAATGAACCGTCAACATACCTTTGGCCTCCTAAGAATAGCCCAACTACACGTCATTATTCTTTGGACAATAATCCTGGTATAACGGAGAAACATGAAATGTCGGCGCAATTAATAAATTCGTACGTACACAACGGACGTCACTGAAAAACACACCTATTCCAGACAGAAGGAATGGTAGTTAGCACCGCTGGTTTTCTTGTATCTCGAGTTTGTCGGTCGTCCACCTCGCTTTCTACCAAAAAAAACTCTGAAAGCTTAATGTTATCCAACTACGTCGACTCGTTTTGCCGGAAATAAAGATCTCGAGTTTATCGAACCTCCGCCTTTCTTGGCTTTGCCAACCGCTACTTTCATCCCCTTCGCTGCACTCCAAGAGGACGGGGCACAGCTAAACTCCTTGCTTCGGAAGCATTCGCGAGCATTCAAACGGCACCGTTTACGCCTTGATTAACCGTGAACGGTTCAACGGTGACCCAAGGTGCACATACAACGCACGAGAATGCTGGAGATGTATTAGACGGAATGTTACACTTAAAGTATGTCAGAACGTTCTTTCCGTTGTTCTTTTTATTACCATGATTACTCGCGAAACACAAGTAACGCTTAATTTCTGCCGAGCCAATGATCGAAATTTGCAGCTAGGGCAGAATCTGATCGAACGTTGCTCCTCCCCCAGACCCTTGGTTGACCAGGATTCGATGTAAACAATCGGGTTAAGGGATTGTCTAGGTCTAGGCTTTGCTGGGAATTCTCGCAATTCAGCATCGCCGATTGCACTACACCGAGGGAACTGTTTGCTCTCGGTCGTTTGTATACGAATTACTGCGTACGGTTCCTTGTCCCTTCTGAATGCTGTTCGAGATAACAAATTTCTCCTCTGATTCTCGAGATGCAAGTAAAACACTGGAACATCTTGCTGTTTTTGTGTAGAAAGGTTAGTGTCTGATTTTCTTAGTGTTGCATTAGCATCATCGTGCAATTTATAAACGATTGACTTTTATGATTATTAACTTGTCTTGTTAAGTCAATCGGCAATGTGTTCGATAAAAAATTTAATGACATGCTCGTCGATCAAGCTGAACGATAGCCGGAGGCGAGACGAGATAATTCAATTATTAATTAATGCGGCATGCTACGGAATTAATGCGTTTATCAACGGAACCGTGAATACCAACGGACAGGGAATGAACTGTGATAAACGGTATCGGCACACACGCCTGTTATTTCCCCCGCGATCATGAAATTGTATAATAATTGTCCCCCGTTGTAAGTGTCGTAAACTGAAATCGACATTGAGCTGTAAATTTATGCGTTTCAATTGTTTCGAATTAGTTCGTCGGAAATGGCTGGTAGCGTGAGTATACTCTATGTCGATTAAATACAGTTAGAACAACGTCATCGGTCGGAATTGCGACATACAGATAGTTATTAATGTTTCATCAAAGGTCAGAAAGAAAGGCAAAGATCGCGCCCGCGTTTCCCCGTTATAAGTGAGAGCGTGTATCGAGCGAGCCGATCTGGAAATAAAAGCAAGATAAATCTAGAATCGCTGAGTCGTGGCGTGGATCTTGCGGTAAAAGGTCCGGACGAAGATTTAATTTGCGGTTCACCGCCGGTGGTCGGATCGCGGGAAATCTGGATTCGCTATTTTCCACTTTCTCTTGTTCTCTTCTTTTATTCTCGTGTTGTCCGGCGGTGGTCGATATAAATTGCTGAATTTAAACGAGCCGATCGAATAATCAAATCAATCGTATTGCCGTTAACTCGAGTTTTGTTCGATACATCCGTCCATTCGCGAGGGCGTGTCCCGTCTGTCGTGCATGGGTAATTTAAAAGCAGCGGACTCTTTTTTTTTTTTTTGCTTCGGCGAAATTAAACTTCAGCGAGCTGAAGTGTCGGGGGGTGCCTTGAGATCTGCTAGTGGCGTACTTTTACTACGGTAGACGGCGCTAGGTACCGAGCCGCGTACTAATTGCTGAAAACACACCGTAATTGCTTTCAATTCTTTCGAGTACGCGACAGGGGGTGAGAAAGCTCGTCACGTTCCGAAAGTGCTTTTACTCGAAATGTTACGGAGAGAGATGCTGGTCGCGACCGTCCGCAAAGGAGAAGGGAATCTCGCTGAATTAAAAGCTTTTATATCTTTTTTATATTTAACTTCAATCGAATATATCTATGTGCGTATTGTTACGAAGCGTCCTAACGACTGCATCGTGCATAGTATACTAATTGATTAAACGTTGCCGAAGGTTATTAAATAGAAAATGTAGAGAAAATTGAATGAAAATTACAATATTATGGGAACAAAAGATTCCTTGGACAGTCGCGTTTCAAAGCGTTTCTGCGAATTGTCGGCGTGGAGACTCCGAGTTTTTCGTCAAAGAGAGCACCGCGAAGCTGCTTCAATGAACGTTTCGGTCCTTTGTGCGAGCTCTCAAGAACAAAGGGTATCGTTGGACATCGAAACAATCGTCGGGATCGTCTAATTGGATCGTGAACGCGGGAAAACCGCGCGAGAAACTTAATTGGGGCGACGTCTGGACCGAAACGAAATTGAAGGACGTAATTACTGGACGGAGAAAAATTCAAGTGGACAAGAACCCACCCCTCTCCCTTCATCCCTTGGGTGAAGAGGGTAAATTTTTCGGACCTACGTTCGACGAGTGTTTCGACAAGCGGGCTCTCTCTTTGTTTCGTCAGCACTGCGAAACAGGAAATAAAAAGTTAATTCGAACGCGTTCCGCCTCGTTTATTCTTTTCGGAAACTCGTGACTTTTCTATGAAAAGCTCGTCGCGGGATCCTGGGAATCGCTTGGGTAACGCCGTTCGCGATGCTGGAAAGTAGTGGAATCGATTTTCTTTCGGCTCTCGGTATCAAAAGTAAGAAGAACTTTTGTTCGACTCTTATGAAACTCTTACGTTTTCTCAAAGGAATTCTCGCTTTTGTCGCCCGTCACGATCTCTTTTCCTTAGACAGAGACTACTTCTGGAACTTGGGGGTAGTTCGATAAGGTTCGACCAAGCGATACCAGGAGCTGCGAATGACTATTTCCCGAAACGATTCCCGAGACTACCCAGCTGTTTGTAAATTGTTTCCGTCTAAAGGATATTTTTCAATGAAACGATCGTCCTTTGGAGTTCGAAAGACGGTGAATCCCTCAAAGAAACAGGCCTGATTCGACGGGTTCGATGGATCGCTAATAATTTCCCCCTCGATTATAAGACAATAAAGGTACACCATCGAAAATTCCATACCCTCGAGTAGAATCGATTGTTTCTCGGATGATCGATAGAGACGTGCTGCATAATGGACGAAATTGTGTATCGTGCAGTCGTGACGAGTGGTACGCATCGTCTATGATTGGTACACAACGTGTTCTCGATACGACGCGGTCAGAGAATGAAGTTGGTTCGCGTAGTTGCACGTACCAGGGATTAATGTCGCACCACGTGTCTCCCACTCCATCTACATCGCGTGTTTACCGATTCGACGACCCGTTACGTGTCTCTCGAAGCATTAATTTCGCATAGAAAAGAAACTACGGATATACCTATTCTCGTGGTTACTCGAAAGAAATGCAATTCACTACCGGTCGGGGAGTTAACGAAATACCTATCGAGGAAACACCAGCCAGACGAATTTCAATATGATCGTTGTTAACGTTCCAGAACTATGCGAGGAATGGGCACTGGCGAATAGTCGTGAATGCGTGGAGAGTAGCGGTTCTGCGGGCACGACGCACGAGGAATCCGAGGATACGTCCGAAGCTCGGTTCACCCTCAAATATTTGGGCAGCACCCTCGTCGAGACGCCCTCGAGCGAAGAGGCGACGGCGGAAGCCATCAAGACCGTCATTACGATGGTACGTATATATATATACATATATATAAGTATATTTATTCACAGGATAAATCTTCAGAAACAATCTTCGCCGAATTTGTTCGGTGCTTTTTTACGGTTGTCCCCTTGTATCGTGGTTTTATGAAAAGAAAACAAGTATCAAGCACCTGCCGTTGTCAATCTATGCTTTTTCGCGGCGGCGAAGTTGCGAGATGGGTTGTCGAGATCGATCATAAGACGAGAAAAAATGAGAAACGATATTACAGGAAGAATCGCTTTACGGTTGATCGATCGGCGGGGGTATCGCGGCGGGTATCCAATTTCGCGCGTTAAAAGAGAATGAAAATCGTGTCCCGAGAAAAATCGCCTCTCTACGAGAACGTGATCGAAGTGTTTCTGAAAAACGAGGAGAACTCGACGGTTCGCGTCGCGCATAAATCTCTTCACCGTACACTCCCTGTCCTAGCCGGCTCATTAATTTCTCGACGAAGTAAACTATGCTGCCTCTGATAAGGTCGATAAAGGTTCTCAGCTCGCCGCCTCTGAACTCACCTTACCGCGGCTAACCACTCGGCGGTTCGCAACGAATTTACTACTGGATCTTCTCAATTTCACCCCGCAACATTTTCACCCTTTACTTTTTTCATTCTACTGCCCGCCCTTTCCAAGCCATTTCTGTGTTTTATCGCTTTGTATTCGTTTGAACGGTATTTTTTCGGCATCCCTACGATGGACGTGCAACATTTTTTCGTCATGCACAGCGAAACTAACTTGGGTTCATAGCTTCGTTAACTACGGTACAACCTCTGCGTGCCGGTATAATAAACCATTTCGTTTTCGTTTTTCATCGCAGCTTCCGTTCGCTGCCCGCGAATAATTGCATTTCTCTTTAATTGCGTTTCCCGTGAAAATTGCATTATGGTTTATTACCACGTAACAAAGGGCGTGTTCGCGAATACGTCTTCCACCGAGGTATTATTCCTGTTTCGGACGGGGACTTGTCTCGGAGGCGTGGGATTACGACCGTCTTCCAATTTCGTACGACATTCGCGATTTAAGCGGATTTACGTAATCTTCGGGCGAGCTGATTCCTTAAACGCGTCGTTTAGTCCGTTCCGAGGTTCGCGATTACGTTACCATAAAGTGCTACGCCGAGTTCACCGCTGCCCGAGAAGATATATTTCCTTCTTCGCGGAATCAACTTACCGTTTCTTTCTGTCCGTCTGCTTTTGAGCAATTTTTCGCTCGACAATTCGGTAAAAGCTTATTCGGAGGAAATAAATAAAAGCTGGTCGACGACAGTAAAGCCAAATTCACACTAACGGTCACGGTACGGTCAGATCAAATTAAATCTGGCAGTCTTTATCGCTCACACGGTCGTAAACACAGATTCGAAAACTTCCGTGCTGGGGATGATCCCTTAAAGAAGCCAAGTGTACTTTCAAATTGTTCCGTAATGTACAGTACCATAGCAGCGATGTGAGGCTGGCGAAAAATCCACGCAACTTTTGTTCTTCCTTAACACATTGAATGCCACAGTGAAAATGGCCGTGCGTAGTCAGACACACTTTATTTCGCTTTTTAAGTCATAAATTATCGAAAATATACATATGCGTGTAGCTAATAGAGGCCGTTGGTCTTGTTTTAAATTATTCTACGATCTTAATTTTACGCAAAAATTTAATAACGATAAATAATCCACCTCTTTTGCAATTTACGTGTCACCCATATTTGTGACCTGTGTGTATACGATCCTGCTCACATGTAAATTCAAACTGATCGTGATTCGACCATGTTCCTGACGTAACAATGCGTTTTCAGGGATTCTAAAAATATGCTGTTTATAACACTATCCGTGCAATTTTGCCGACAACAACGGCACAGTAGTCGGGTTGAAACGTTTCTCGACGACGAGGAGAGTGTCTTACACCCCGAAGCACTTTCCACGGCGGCTCCTTCCGTTATTTTCGAAGTGCAGGAGCATCGTCTCTTGAAAGCTTCTCCCTGACGAGATACCTTGTTGTTGCATATACATACTCGGAGTATAGCGATTCGAGGAACGTGTAATCGCGCGCAACGGGTTGAATTGTTCCTCCCCCGTGTTCACATTTTACCGGTTTCCTGTGCAAAATTCACCTACGTTGAACTTTGAAGAGGATGAAATCTTGTAAAGTTCGCGGTAACGAAGTTAACCACGGTGCTTTTTGTTAATGTGTTCGTAGGCAAAAGCAAGCGGCAAGAAGCTGCAAAGAGTTTCCCTCGCAGTGAGTTTAAAGGGTATCCGAATGACAGACCTTGCAACGGAGGAGGATCAGCTACAGGTATCTATATACAGGTATGTACGAAACGAGACGGGAGTTTCACGGGAACGTATTCCCAGACATTTCCTGTTTCGCGCGTATGCACGGCTGTCACGGTTCAAGTTGTAATCGGACGGAACCGGATTTGTTGGCTGGAGCTCGTTGTACATTTTCCCCTCCCCATGTTGCGTCAGCCGACATTATATCCGATATTCAGGGCTGAAATGTATTCGAAATCTCGCGTAATAATGCCGACCCGGCAAACGTTACACGATTCCGTTCTGGCCAGGTAGTATTATTCGTTCACCGGCAACTCTGAAATTATGATTTATCGAACGGCTGTATCGACATCTGACACTGCATAGAACATACATATTATAGACGTACGATATTATACGGTTGTCATGTTTTTTTCACTCGTGAATAATAATCATATATTTTTGCATAAGTGGGTATTGATGTTTGGTGCTTATTTAATATCTGGCTCGCGGAGAATAATGTTCCGAGTGGATCGTGTAGTCGTAATCAGACGGCAGTGGATACGGTTCTTTGCTGTCCGAAAATTGGCTCGGTCGAGATTACAATACGCTCGGGAGGAGTTCAAGCGGTGAACGAGAAATTTCACGGTCCGTGAGAAAAATGCTGAAAGTCTTTATCCACCCCGACGATAATACATTTTGCGTAATCGCACGGTGCCCAACCGAGCTTGATCGTAACGCATCGACCCTGGGTAATGCCACTTTAATTAACCGTACGGTAACAACCGCCACAATCTAGTTTAAACGGAATTAAGCCGGGAGATTTAATATTAGGAAGGGTTCTTTTCGCGAATCCTTTTTCTTTTTTTTTTTTAAATTCAAGCTCTAACGTATGACGTTCACTCGGTGGTCGTTAATTCGATGCGTTCCAAGCTCTGCTCCGAGAAGTCTCCATCTCTCTCTGTCTCTATCTCTTAGAAGTGCTTCCCGGGAAAATTTCATTCATTGTAATCCTTTGTTACGTAACCGAGGAAAATTCGTGGTGCTCCCGGCAGCCATTGCTCGTCCCACGGATGAAAATAATTTACATATTACGTGTACATTCCACGTATATGCGCGGGCCCGGTTATGTGCTCCGGGAGTGCACTCGAGAGTTCATCGTTTCGCTGCTAACAATGAAACGTTTTCAGCGGCGAGTAGGAGGGAAATGTATATAATTAAACGAGAACATCTCCAAAATCGTTTTAGAATCTCTTACTGCTCGGCGGACGCGACCCACGATCACGTGTTCGCGTTCATCGCGACGAATCTGAATGAGACGATGGAGTGCCACGCGTTTCTCTGTCCGAAGCGAAAAATGGCGCAGACGGTGACGCTAACGGTGGCCCAGGCCTTTAACACGGCTTACGAGGCTTGGCAGCTGTCCCAGGCCGATCCAAGAATTCATCACGTTCAGGATAAGAGCCCCTCGTTAACCGAGGACAGAAACGGTAGGTGAATTAATCTCTTCGGCGATGATTCGGAAATTCGACGCGACATTGCAAAATGGATGTTTCGCGTGGATACAATTTTTAAATTTTTAAAAAGTCCCGAATACTTTCATTATTGGCAGGAATGTATTTTATGCTCGAGAAGAAGTTTGATTTGATCGATCGATGAAGTAGGTAATATCATCGTGACATTTTATACAATTTTTATGAATAAATTCTCGAGGACGGAGACTAATCTTTAAACCAGTACCATTTCATTCACCGTAACAGCACATACGTACGTTGTCGGGGCAATGGAGTACCTATGTGTTCGTGCACTTAACTCTCGGAGAGTACGGATATTGCGGAGAGCTTCGGCGAAGGTTATGAGTGCACCCAGGAAATTGTCCGGTAATATTGAACTTCATCCAGCCGGGGAGCGGCAACATTACGGAAAAGTAGGACAATTAGAGCGTCTGTGCTCTCCTTTTATTCCCGCAGATACGAGCTGAGAGAGCACGTTTGTTTCAAACGGAATTAACCATGATTACCGTTCGTGATCAAATTATTACGTGACAAACTCTGGAGAACTACGCGGCGGTACCGTAATTTAGCCAGTTTTCGAAATATCCGTCTAAAGTACCTATACCGTAGAACCGAACGAGTCAAAGTGAATGCCTCGGAAAAGAAATTTTTCGCACGCTTTGGTTCGTTTTCCGATTATTATTGGAAACTCCGGGACGTTGAATATTCGTATAGATGTGGATCGAGAATGATATTGTATTTCAAATTATTCGGTCTAGGTTTTACTAACGATTTATTTTTTTGCAGAGAACAACGAGAAAAAGAAGAAAGGCGAGGATACGCGGTCCGTGGGAAAAGTTAACGAGCAAAATAAGCATAGCGATCAACGAAGTACCGGTAACGATTCTCAAAAAAATCTTTTGATCGATCTGTCGAATGACCCTAAACCTGCGGGAAACTCATGGGTGAGCGACATAATCTAACCTTGTTGAATTCGACTGATTTTATATTATGCATATTCATTAAAGATCAAGATTATTTTCGAAGACTCTTCTAAATAGAAATAAATGGTACTTTTAGGTTTGCTTCGAGGACGAATCGGGGCAAGATGGTAAGAAGATACAGAGGAAGAGTAGCTCCACCAATATTCCCATGATGACTTTGAGGCACACGACAACCCCGACGTCGCACCACGTTGTGCCGAGGCCAACGACAGGTTTCAAAATGCAGAACGCCTGGGGTGAATCCAGATCGGTAGATCTGATGTGTTCGTAGCAGGCATAGCCTTCGGCCGACAGTTTCCGAGACGTGCCGTTAATCACTGGCCTCTGGAAGCATCTGTCGAACAATAGCCAACCGAAACAACTGAACCACTAGGTTAATTATTATTGCTGAACACATCCCACTCCTTGTAAACGAGGTTGTTGGTCGATCGGTTCTCATCTGAGAATCTAGTTGATTAGACTTCGATGAAAACACACACACACATACTTCATCCGCTTGTTCTTTCGTGATGAAATGTCACCGAATACGCTTTCCGATATTTTACGAGGATCACGGGATTGACGTTAAAATACACGGTGTGATATATGTCCCGTGATCATTTTGACACGTGTCCTGTCCTCGAAAAACGATCGATGTCGAGCGGTGCTCGAGAGGACCAATGAAATCGATAAAGAGAGAGATAAAAAGAAAGAGTGAAAGACAGAGAGAGAGCCTCAGTTCACGGCCAGGAAGTGGGAACAATTTTCACAATCTACATATACCTTTTGTATGATGCGTGTATCCGTGCCAATTCTGCCATACATATCGTACACAATTTCGTATCACTACGCCATAAAATCAGATTTTTTTCTTTCAAACGATTTCGCGTACGTCGCCGAGATCATTACGAAGAAACGACAAACCGAGTCGTGCGATCGTCCATGCTGGGAGAAGCAAACATTGCTCTCCGTAACATTTAAGCGTAAAATTTCTTCGTTGTGAAATAGCTGGGCTATTTTGTTAGTTGAACTTTCTTAAATTCGTCCTTGCGCGTGAACAACGCTCAAATTGTAGATTTATTATAATTAGCCGTCGTTAACTAATAGGATCTACTGATAATACTTTTAATGTTAATATCGCCTCTTAAGTGGTAATTTTTAAATAGTAATCACATTAAAAACGTTAATTCGTTTCTCCTTAGGGTGACGAGTGAGTATCAAGTGAATATATACTTTATCCTTTTCAAGTAAACTTTAGTAGGTAATGTTGAAGTGATTATTATCGGATTGACGAGATAAGGTAACACTTGATATTAGAAAAATGTGTTGATGTATATGTTGTGAAGACATATACGGCGTATACCCATTTAGCCGTAGTGTATAATTCGTCGTTAAGAGTTGAACATGATTTGACTTCAGGAGAAATCAGTTTTATTATGCTTATACGGTACATTTTACCTAATTATACAGCTGTTAAGAAAGATATCGTGTAATTGTTAACTTGTATCATTATTGTTGTTATCGTATCGTTATCGAGAAGCTCGGAGCTATCTGTTTTCTTATTTCATAGGAATATCTTATATGTCGTTTCAGTTTCACTTGTATGGACCATCGTGTTCATTTTGAGATAAATGTAGTAAGTATGGCTGTTGCATTACGCGCGACAAGTAATCGTGGAGTAGCTGCAATCTCGTAAAATTATATCACCCTGACTTTAAGGTAGTTGACTATTTTCGTAGGTACCTTTGGTAGATCGGTAACCTAACGGGATGCTGTAATATCGTTACCACTTGTAACATTATATTCGTTCGTAAATGAACGTCAACGAAGTCGATCGATCGACAGTCAACGTGGACTTCAGTTTTCTAGTTCAACGGGAATCTTTTTCTATCGTTTATGGACATTAGTGGACACCAGGACAATGTGATCGACGCTTCGTTGAGGCGATTGAACGATAATTTTGTATACTTGACTGGAGGGGTGCGAAGCATTTCTACGAAACAGATATGTGATTGCAACTGATATCACTAAATGTTAGAACGTAAGAAGTACACATGAAATACACACCTACGTATCCGAACTGGGCTTTTCTATCTAAAGTCTTCTGAAATTTCGTAGACGCCAAACATGTTTGTGCAAATAAGCTGTTCTCACAATGCAGCTTTTATTGATTTTCACATACCTCGAGCGTACTTTCGTATCTCCTTGGACGCATTAAAGATGGCGTAGGATATTAGCTCCAAAAAGAACCATTCGAATGAAAATCCTCCATTCTTTAACCAGTCCTACAAATCCTGTTACATTTGTTGTATCTCATTATTTATATTTATCATACACAATGATGTTTACCCGACAGCAAAGCCTGTTTCCCGTAGTCCCGACAGATGGAGACGCATGTTCAGAGAAAATTTGTTTTTCCGAATTATCAACATTCTGTAAGTTATCCATTAATGTTTCTATTACTTGCCTATATATATGTTGATCGTTGATACAGCTTACGTGAAATATTGAAACAATTGCAAGTTCCATGTCTAGCGTTAGCCTAATAATACATCAATAGATGCTTGGACTATTTAATAGTTTTTTTTTTTTAACAATGATTAGGTATGCAATGGGAAGAGGTAGGACGTTGATGCAAAAACGTTCCGAGGTTACCGCACAGAGGGTAAGCATAACAGCGTACTTCGAACGAAGAAAGCAAGACCTGGGCACGGACACCGGAAGTAAGAGAACCAAAGAAAAAACGAACACGACCTGGGATAAAAAGGTTACGTCAACCGAAAGACAAACTACCCTGCATGTACTTTCCTATGTAACTAGGTGGCTTTTGGTGCTTCGTAGATGCTTTAGGGGGACGACCAATGCCAGTTATTTCAGTAGAGAAAATTTTCTTTTTCAAGCTCCTTTCCACCCGAAAATCCTTTTGTAAGAAATGACTGCTCGTACATCTTTTCGCGCGACACATAACTCTCCACCTTTTCCTCGCCCTTCTGACCAGCGTTTTCAATATAATTTGTTACTCATCGCGTCCGAGCCATTTAAGCGGAAAAAATTGCGAAGACGCGAACAACCGAATAGAAATGAGGAATTTTTCAAAGACGCGAACAAGAACGAAGCTTAGCTGACAGGATTGCCAATGAAAACCAAGATATTCCAGGAAAAATTACGGGGGTGGTAACGGACAGAGAGAGACAGAGAGTCGTCCTTTTTTTCCAGAAGCATCGCAATAATGCCTCGACCTCAACTCCTCGTCGGTTTATTCTCGAGATTCGTTGAAAATTTTTATTGAACCGCGGGAACGTAATGAAACGACCGTTTAGACTTTACGACCATAATAAAAGTCAACGTACACTTTCTCGATAATTGACAGTTTCAGCACGCTTTGAGAGAACGAACATTTTTTATGTAATTCTTTTCGCAACTTCTTTATTCTGATACGATGTGTGTACACGTCGCGAGAACGGATAAACGAGACAGTCTAATCGTAGATACGCGACCCGGAAAGTTCTGTAAAAGGGAGCAATGAACATAGAAAAAAAAAAAAATATTTTTGTTTCGGCTTTCCGCGAAAGTGCCGTGTGAATGCAGCGATGGAAATTCTCATTAATTTTACCTCCGGTCTGGCTAACCATTGAAAATGCAAGCACAAAAGCGGAAGAACCATTTTTCTACGGCTTTTCACTGTTCTCGTTATTTCAATCCGTCTTTCAGCCGTTTCCGTTTCACGAGAATTCAACGGATGCTTCGTTAAAATTTAAGTCGTTTCATCGAACAATGAATCTTAAACGATTAATTTTTCCACTACATTCAATATGTCGATATAACAATCAACTTCATATTTACTTGAATCTAATATACCTGAATAATTTAAATCCCTATTAAGGATAGACGGTAGTATTTGACTCGAAGGAAACAAATATTAAACGAATCGATGGAGCAGATGAAACTGTTAGCGAGGCGATATCCGGGATAAGACCAGATTTCAGATAGTAAGTTTGGCAGGAACGCGTATAGTAATTAAAATATTTTAGTAGTTTGACTGAAGTAAAGATATATGAAACTGAAGATTACTTTTAATACTATTTCAATGATTTGAGCGTACTGCTGGAAAACCGCTGTGTTTTTCACATCCAGATTATTGACTTGGCTTTGCACCATGGCCATACCAGGTATATTGACCTTTCAGGGACTCTGTAGCCGACAGAAACAATTCATTTCGGCTTAAGAAAAGGGACCAGGTGGTGCGTAGTTATGTGTATATGTATATAACTACGCCTAATAGATACGGTCGAACGTCCGTTGTCCGAAATTCCTCATTCTGATAACAGAAATTGCAACAAATTCCAGAACTTGTTTAATCTAGTTTCAGAAGTCGCCGTCAGATGGCGCAACGGTGACGATTTCGCAGTTTCCGCAGATTTTGTAAAAATTCTAGAATTAGTTTCAATTTCCACCACCAAGTGACTACCATAATTTTAGGAAACTCTCAATTTGGCTGTTTAATATTTTATTACTATTTATTGTTTTCCATCATTTTATTAATATTACATACTTAAATACTACTTATATATACGATTTTACAATTACACTTTTAATAGTAATTGTATAAATTTAACAAAGATAAATCCCTCTTCAATAACTTTCAAATCTGCCGTGTATGCTCTTTAAAACTTCATGAAGTTTTCCTGAAATTGTTGATTTTTTCATTTCTAGCGGCTTACTGACTGAAATTCCTCGGGGAGGGATTAGTACCAGGTACTGACGAAGTTCGGTAGATGTCGTCGCTTGTAGTAAAGATAAATCCCTCTTCAATAACTTTCAAATCTGCCGTGTTATGCTCTTTAAAACTTCACAAAGTTTTCCTGAAATTGTTGATTTTTTCATTTCTAGCGGCTTACTGATTGAAATTCCTCGGGGAGGGATTAGTACCAGGTACTGACGAAGTTCGGTAGATGTCGTCGCTTGTGCAAGTGAGAGCAGCGACCAATATGGCGTCCGCAGTTAATCCCAAGTTACCGGCTCTGCCACACGTAGGCGCTGTCACTCGTGCATTAGTCCGAGAACATTTTCCCGAGGATGTTCGCGGTAAAGATTATCGGACCCGGAGATCCGCGGCTTCCCCGCTTCCGAATATTTCCAGCGAGATTCGCGAATTTCTCCGTACAAAGTCTGTCGACGGACAGTGAGGATTCTTTCCACGTTTGCATCACTCCGTGAGTTATCTCGCAAGAGCGATGTCTGTTTTACCGTGCGATAGTGCTTCCTAGTATGAGTAAAGAGAGAGCGTGCTCCTGCAAACAGTGGTGCGTGTAGCCAGACTTTCGGTACTCTCGGATGTTCTGGAAGAGATATCGATGCGATTGCATCGTTGCCTCCGGTTGTTTACTTCGTCGTGAGCTACGGAAAGG